CAGTTTAGACTGTATACTTTCTGCATGTTAAGAAGTTTGATGAGAAAATCTTTAGCAAAAATATTGTTAATCAGTAATATAATAGTTACTTATAAACTTTATTTGCTAAGCGTAGAATGAGAAAATTGAATTGGATTAGTGAAACTTATTAATTCATAACAGAATATTATATATTATAAACTGTGTCATATGGCAGAAAAGACATCAAACAACAAAGATCAATAGGAATGATTTGTCTATTTCTTGAAAGGACTCTTCTTGATGAAAATATTGAAAATTCGAATGAAGAGAATAAATAGATAATATATATTCTATTATTTATCAGTGGCATTCTCGTTTGTTTTATCTTCTTTTCTGATTTTTGATATGAAAATTGATTAATAATCATTATTTATCTGTGATTAAATTAAACGAGACCACAGGCGATACACACCGTATTCCAAAAATCGCGTACGCGAGAAAAAAATGATCTAATGTAGTACGTATTTCGAAACCGAAATCAGGTAATATAAAAACATCTCTGTTGTAGACAGCGGAATATATAGACTTGAACTGGGTACTATTAAGTTTAGCCTCACCTAAATAACAGTCAACATGATCGAATCGACTGAAAAGTACTTTTTGAGCTTCTACAAATCAATCACGATGTAATGATTAATTGGTATCACGTATTTATACGGAGAGTTTTAATAGAACTAATCCATCTCAAATAGTATCGACGTTCATAGCGACAAACGAGAAAATATAAGCTTTTTCCAAATTAATAGTGTAACGTGAATATGAAATAAATGATTCTTATATAGATGCGAACTTATAAATAGAATGTATTTAGATAGTCGATAGATCATTCTATATAAGAGAGCTTTGTACAAATTTTTATAGCTTCGCCATGAACTTTTTAATCAAGCAGTAATAGTTCATATTGCTTTTATATTCTATAACCAATCAGTGATATAATTCTTTCTTTACGAAGAAATCATTTGTACTCAGGGGCGTAGCGAGGTGTCGAGGGCAGGGGGCGTTACGCCTCTGATTTCCAATCAAGTAGAATAACTGAAGTCTTCACGATTAATAAACAAAAATACTTCGACGAGTTTTTTCTCGAAAATCTTCGTCAAAATTCAAAAAAAACATATTCTGTGATGTATATCATTTTAATACTTTTTGTTCCTAGATGATAAACTTATCCTTAACGGTACTTCATCAACTTGCAAGTTTTTTAAAATGAATTCATCTTTATCTTTCAACCAGATATATTTGAATTTATGTGATTAAATTGTAGCTCTTTTTCAAGAAGAAAAATCATTTTAATGGACTTTTACCTTTTTAATTTTAGATTTTTCTATTGTCAAAACTTCTCTTTTGTCGTGAACGTTTAGCAAGAAAATGATATGGACTTCTCTTTACATTGAATGAATTAAATTATAAACAAAATAAATCTTTAAGTATCCCAAGTCGATGAATACGCGATTCGTATACGGTCATGTTCTGCCGTATTTTCACGTATTACCTGTCTCAGTATTACGGTCGTATTTCTCCGTATCGTATACTCTCGTTTACGCACATAAACGATCGGTTACGGTGGCAGTATTCGATCGTTTTTTAGTTGTAAACGGCTTGCCATTAGATCAGTTGAAGTTAACTAACTGCGATGACGAGAAATGGTCAGATTTTCATACCCTGGAATGGTCGTATTCTGTCGCAAAAATACGGAATAATACGGTCGTAATACTGAGACAGGTAATACGACGGAATACGGCACGACATTCGTATACGGTCATTTACGACAGACAACATTCGACCTGGGTAATGTACAAGACTGACTATGCTAAGGAATTTGATTTGAAAAATAAGGGAATAAGTCTAATACTTAGTTTTAAAATGAACTAACCTGTTTTTTTTCTATCTCAATCGAGAGTAAATATTGCTAATAATGCAAATAATGGTACAATACCGATACACCATTTTGGTAGAAAAACAACCATTATTTGCTTAAAGCAAAAAGAGTAACAGCAGCAAAAGATCGGCCTGGTGCTGAAAAAGTAATTTGTGATGTAAGTGAAATACCAAATCCCAATTAATATACTTCCTATCTTATCATCAACTGCCCATCTAGTATTAGTTGACAAATACTTCGGCTCTATACCAAGAACTTTTAGTCCAAGTTCATCAACAGCTAAATTAATAGCATAAAAAAAAGAGCTACAGTAACAGTAAAAACCACAGCATATCCCACAGTTAATATATGATCGAATTGTTCCAATCTGTTCTTTTTCTTTCGATGTTTTTCACATCGCTGTTGAGTTTGTTCAAGCAATCGATCCTGATGCCGACCAGCATGTTCAGCTTTTTTAAGTTTTAGTTGTAAATCGTCATTTTCAACTTGTAAAGATTTTACCAGTTCAATTAAATCGCTTTTTGTCATGTCCTTCAATGTTTTTGGTGAAAACCGAGTAGCCATACTTTACTATAAATGTAAAAAAATATATGTTCATCAATGAAAACAAAAACTTCTTGATTTATTTGAATATTAAGATAAAATTTGAACAAAAAAAAGACAAAATATTCTATTCTAATTCCCGATTATCTAAATACATATAGAAAGTTGTTTTTTTCAATTAGATTTTAATTTGATCTGATCATCAGGCAAAAAAATTGTTTTCTCATCAAATATGGATAGAACAAATTGTTCTATACGATTAAAACTACTCCTTTTTCAGTAATATTGTAGTTTTTCATTTTTAATTTTGACAAATTTAATTATCTTATATAGAAATCTTGAGGGTGTGGATGTGGGTCCTGCATGATTATGTGTAAGGGCGTATACTAGTTTTCGCTCATTGGACACGCCCTTTTCGCTAAAAAATTCAGTCTTTTCTTTGTAAGTTGCTCGTGTCTCGTATGTGAAACATGACATATTATATCATATGCTTCTCGCAGATGCTCTGATAGTTTACTTTTTAATTCTTGGTATTGTTTTTCTGCTTAATCTATTGCTAGCTTTTTCGCTTGCCTCATCAAACTAGTCAAGTCTAACTTTGTTTTTCGAAGTACATTTTTCCATTGTTCTCGTAGTGACATGATCTGTTGATTCTTTACTTTCAATTCTTTTGCATGAAGTTCTAATTTGTCAAAAATATTAAGTGACGGTGGTGGCATATTTGCTACGAATCTCTGTTCGAGTTTATCTAGTTGTGATTGAAGGTCTAATCTTCTCATATACTTTTCATGTAAGTTGTGTATGTGAATGGATAATTTTGAGCTGAAATAAGTAAATAATAACTTGAAATAATGCAGTCGAAAGACGAGAATGGAGATGAAACTAATTATTTATTCATGAATTTTCGATTCTTTTCTAGAATCATCATCAGACGAGAAAATAATAGGGTGTGGGTGTAGGTGTCAATTATATTCAACAAACAAACCGTCACATACACCGGCACGCACACGCACACCTTCAAAATATGGAAGATGAAACTAACTGATGATATCGGGAATTGTTCAGATGATGCTAATTATCCATTAAATTTAAATGTTCTTCAAATTTTCATACAAGTATTTCAGCTGCTACGCAACAAATGATAGCTACGATATTAATCGATTTATTCTTTACGCTTTTGAAAGCTTGAAGCATTATTGCAATACAAAAGTGACATCTGTTTTTTTTATTATATATAGTCAATATTATTTCCACTGTACTTATTGTTAAACTTTATTTAAAAATTCCTGTAAAACAAAATACTACGAAAACATAAATTATACGTAAAAAAAACTATTTAAGGCTTATTTTAGTATTACACTAAATAATAACATAATCATCATTATAAAAAATGATATTTGATTTGTTAATCCTCGATCTATAATTCCATCTGGATCTGGCATTGTTTGACATACTATGCCTTGTTTATAACATTCTTTAAATTCCTTTACTATTTGATTGTCATTTTCCACAAGTTGTCGTCGTTCTCGACTTGTTGATAGATGTATTTCATTAACTCGTAATGCTTGTGTTGCATTAAATGAAGCGAATGCTAAACAATCAAATAAGCATTCATCAACAAAATCATTTTCTTTAATTGAACAAATCTGTTCACATTTCTGTGGTAATTGTGATTCATGTAAAAATATATGACGACGTTGACGTGCTGTAGTAATAGCTACTTGTCGTTGACTTTGTGCAAAACGTTCTTTTAACCGTGCAATTATTGCTTGTCGATCAATAATTTCATTTGGTGGACAACCTGTTATTAAATATCCATTTGAATTATTTAATAATAATTCTGATGAACGAACAAGAAAAAAGTAAAATTTTGCCCATATATTCACTGTTATTTGTGTTGAAGTTGGAATATGTGTCAAAGTTATATGACCTTCAGTTGAACGTTGTTCTCCATGATCAATTTTTATTATTGATGGTGATAATCTATCACGATAGATTAATTCCAATGGTAGTTTACCACTGGATGCTCGATAGTTAGCAATTAAACTACCATTTAAATTATAAAAATCAATTTGTAAAGATGTTATAGCAGTCGCTGTTAAATCAGGATGACCAACATGTTTTGATATACCAGTTATTTTAAAATGAGGATTAGATATATAGGTACGATTTTCTAGCAATCTACATGTTACAGCTGTTGTTGTATGAAGTTGAACAATATGTGGATCACCTGAAATGATAATTCGATTTAGAATGCGAGCTTTATTCATTATAAATATCGCTTAATTAAGTGAAACATCAACGCACACTGTCCTATGGATTATTTATAGTCTCAAAAAAATCTGAACTATGTAGAACTTCAATTGGTAGTTTAAATGCAAACTACAGAAAGCACTATTATAACAACAGATATCCTTCAGATTTATTTACTGTCGCAGTCATTAATAATCACTATCAATTTCCGTCACTAACAACAGATGTTCGATTGAGACCAAACACATACAAAAATATATTTGTGTATTTGCTCACTTCTGTGCAAACTGAATGAATGTTTATTTTCATTATGAATTCTGCAAATGCACTGATAATACTGATTATCAGTATATTTTCTTATACATCTCAACTGTGACTATCAGATTAGTTATACTCTTTTTTATAGACTATTTCCATTTTTTACGTTTAACTATTCGAAAATTTAATCTCTTTGTGACATTAATTGAATGAATCATCCTAAGCCTTAAGATAAACAACAACAAATCTATTGATATCATAGAATGACAAATAGCATCTGGAAAATAAATAACATTTATTCATCCTATACGACAGATGATATACTGAATAATAATAATGCAAAGGTTTTCAGATGTACAAATGATAGAATGGCTATTATAGCTTTCTGTCGTATGTAGTAAATAATCTGAGAAATGTCATAGAATTATTAATCATAATTCTCATATATTTCTTATGACTCATAGATGAATATTTTTGTCATACCATGAATAGATGATGTAGCTCGTTTTGATTGTGCAAATTCTTGAACATTTTCATTTGGTAATTTTTGTTTAATAATTTTTGTAATATTTAATGTTGTTGATGTTGATGTTGACTTATTATATTTTTCTGGTACAGCTAATAATTCTTTAAAAATAAATACTTCTTTTGTTGCTCGTGGACAATTTGTTGGAATTGAATTATAAATACAACGAAGAAAATCTTCCGACCATTTTGTTATTTCATTTAATAGTGCTTTTGTTTGATATACTGTTTGAATATTATTTTTAAATGTAGATAAACATTGCTTATGTTTTGTTAATGTTACTTTTGTTAAACAACTTAATAGTGAACGATCAAATTGTTGTAAAAAATGATCTAAGAAAAAATTCTAAATTTTGATTTAAATTTAAAGAATCTTACTTGAAAGTTTATCACCCTCACAAAATGGTATTAAATTTTGTAGATAATGATTATCATCATAAGTGTTTGCATCATACTCAAAATATTCTAAAGGTAATTGATAATTTTCAACTAAACTTAATATATGTTGAGTAAGACCAGGTTGTTCCGTATCACAATGTTTTAATTTTGTATCTAAACATTGTTTTATATCTTGATAAAGTCGACAATGTGCATTATAGAATTCAACATTATCCATAGAATAATTTAGTGGACCGGCAGAGTCAGAATGAAAACAAACTTTTGTTAATAAATCTCGAACAAAATCAACAAGTGGTGGTTTAGGACAATCAATATTATCTGCTTGAAGATAAATATTCATTTGAAAAATAATGATCATAAGAAACCACATTCTTCTTAGTTAAAAATTGTATTAAGATATAAAGAATTATATCGATATATATATATATATATATATACTTAAATAAATATTGACGTCTTAATCAAAGATATATCAGCAACGATTCACTTATGAATATTATGTGTGCCAAGGCTAGCATATCTTTTTCTCAATATATTAATAGACAAAAAGCAGATTTGGCATCATAGTCTTTTTCTCTCTCTCTCTGTAGGTTATTGTTATTTTTCTTTTTTTCTTGTATATGTCAATATAGAAAGGCATCGAACAGATTTTAATCAATAGGCAAATAAATAATCTTTACTGAAAATTATTAATATACAAAATTGCAAATAGAACTTATTTTCGATGCAAAAAAAACTAATAGCTTAGATTGTTTTTATTGATCATCGAAACAGAAAAATATTTCTTCGTAGTTGTCAAATATCATATGATTTATTTCTATCATTATATATTATTACATTGACATAAAAAACATTTGTTTAAGGCAATGAATATTTATTTCGTCTAAATTTTGTTTTCTAAATATTCTAGGTAAAAAAAGAAACAAAAATAACTCACCTATTTATCGTCAATTACACATCACACCTATGTCTATTTTTTTATTTTTCTTAAGTAGCAATTATCAGATGACTGTAAAATATCTATATATCGGGGGAAAAAAACGAAGCAAAGGTTAATTTGAAAATAAGGTTATAATTTATAAGTCAATTTAATTTTTTCATTAAGTAATATTAATGAGATATTTTAATATGTGTATTAATATCAGATAAAAATCGTCTAGTCTATTGAAATATTTAAATATATGAAACCTTTGTAAAACAATAGTCTGAATAGATAATGAAATTTTTTTTATTACTTATTATGAATGATATAATATCGTCATGAAATTAAATTATTATTCATTGTCTGTTGTAATAAAACCTTATCTTTGTAAATAGTAAATTCATTTATAACTACCATAAACTTTATTTTTGTCTCTATCGTACTATATATATAAAGGCTGGACTAGAACATATTAATTTACGTGAAAATGAAATTGAATAAAATGTTTATCGTAAATTTTTTATGCTTAATTATTTTTACATTAATAATTCTGGTAAATGGTAATGCAGAAGTGAAATCAACAAGTAAATATGGTTTATTAATAAAAAATCGTGAAATAGTTAATATTCGACTTGAAGATTTATTACAACGACGAAAATGAAACAAAAAAAGACATTGATTAATTATTTTTATCTAATCTTGTTGTCAATATATGATGAGAACAATATTGATTTTATCTTGATATAAATAAATATAACTCCTTTTTTTTTGCTTTTTGTCTCTTCTTTTTATTTGATATTTATAAATCGATTGATCGATTTTTTATAATGAATATCTAACGTATACATCACGACAAGCTGTCAACTTGTAGACATTTGATGAATAGTAAATTGGACAGATGCACACGAATTAATAATTTTTTTGATGAGAGAAAAGAAAAAAAAAGAGAACTGCAATCTATTAAGAATGAAATGAGTAAAAAAAAAGAAAAGAAAAGAAATAAACAAAAAAATGTTGTACGGGAATATTAAAAGAAGACGAATAAACGTCTAGTTCTAAGGAGCAAAAAGAAAACTAAGACGAATAAGAATTAGAAAGAAGAAAAAAGAAGACAATTTTACAACAATAAAAAGGGACAATACACTTTTTATTTTTATATTTTTATTTATGAATAAAAGAAATAATAATTGAGATATGAAAATTGTAAGATTAAAAAAAAAGAAGAATGAAAAATGACAAATAAGATTGAATAAACACCTTATTTATTTTTTTTTTTGTATATGAGAGCGATTTATTCGTCCCTGTATTGACAGAAACAACACACATTTGATGTCCTGGGCTTCCATTCTCACGGTCAGTTAGATGATGAATATTATATTTGATCATCATATAAACGGGCCGATTGTCTAAAACAAAAAAACAAAAAAATATAATCTATGACCTTTCCTGTATAACGTGAATAGAGGATAATAATTATACTACTGACAGAGTGCATAAGTATAGGTTTGATTTCATATGAAAACAACAGATAAAAAAAACGAAATAAACATATTACTTACCGTTTTTCGATGGTGATTATCGTATAATGAACGACGCGAGGACGATGGTGAGTTGGAATAGATAGATTCAGAATCTGATTCAGATTCCAATGAACTATTACTACGAGTTTGTCGACTTGTTGAACGATATCGATTGTTATTATTTGTATTTCGTTGTTGATATTGATGTTGATTTGAACGTTTAGTATTACTATTATTATCTTCTTCCGGAATATATTTAACTTTCATTGGAACTGTTGTTGGTTTACCACGATTAACATAAAAACGTTCAAATGCATCAAGAATTTTTTCAGCTGAACGACTTTGTTCTTCTTGTTTACGACGGTCATCATCATCATCATAATCAATTAGTTCATTATTATTCGATTGATTATAATTTGGATTTGCTATATTACGTTGTTGTTGTTGTTGTTGTAATTGTTGTTGATATGTATCGCCTGGAAAGCGAATGGTATTACCAGGGCCTGGTAAACGTGGTGGTGCACCACGAATTTGTGGTTGACCTGGGCCTTGTAAAACACCTTGTTGGTATAGAAACTGTTGTTGCTGTTGCTGTTGTGGTTGTTGTGGTTGTTGTTGTTGTTGATTAGGTATTTGTGGTCTTACATTTTGTGGCATTGGTGGAGGTGGTGGTGCAGGACCTTGTTGTTGTTGAGAAGGAGGAGCAACATTTCCTCCTGGGCGATTATTAACATGGGCTGCAGCTGCTTGTGCTATTTGTGCAACAGTATCTTCGCGTGGATGTTTTATTGTTGAAGCTTTACTTTCTGCTTCTGGAATTTGATTACCACCTGAACGTGAACTAAATAAAAGAAATTGAATAAATTGAAGTTATAATAGATTATTGTTTTTTTTTATATTAAATTTCTTACCGATCACGTGGATCAGTTGCTTGTTGAACTACAGTTGGATCAGGTACTGCAGCTGTAGTTGCTGCTGTTTCTTGACCTGTCGTATTTTCTGGTATACGTTGTATTGATGATACATCTTGAGGAGGAGCAGCAGCAGCAGCTTGGCCTTGTTGGGCACTATTATTACTAGCTGTACGATGTCGATGCTTTTTTGATGAAGCCTCACGAATAGCTTCACCTGTAGTATTATTTAATTCAACAATTACTGGCGTTTGTCGTGGAGAACCAATACCATCGCGTTTTGATCGTCGATGTGAACGAGTGCCTTCATCTTGACTACGATCACCTTGTCCTCCAGTTGCTTCATTATTATTTAATGTTGCCTTATTAAGTTTTCTTTGCAATTTATGTAATTCACCTTCTAACGTATGAATATGACTACGCAGACGTTGAATTTCTTGTTCAGCTGGTCCATTAACGGGTCCTACATTCGACCATGGTGGTAAACTATTAAAAGGTAAAGATGCAGGCATAGTATTATAATAAGCTGTTTGAGCTTGTGGAGGAGCATAAGGTTGATATGGATTATATGATGGACGAATACTACCAAATGGCTGTAATGATTGTGGTCCGGCTGTGGGTGCTGGAGGTGGTGGTTGAGAATATCCTGAACTAGGGCCATATGTATATTGTTGTTGTTGTTGTTGGGGAGGTGGTGGTGGTGGTACTGGTAGAGAATGATTTTGTTGATCATCTTCATGTGGTAATAATTGTTGCTTAACTTCGGGTGGTAAACGTGTTGAACGTTTCGCTTGTTTACGATAAACATCTCCTCGGCGAATAGATTCTTCATATGCTTGATTATAACCATTATAAAGTGGTTGACGATGAACCTATGAATAGATGTGATTTTTTTTTATACAATTTATTTGGTCATAGATATGGTTTACCTTTAATTGTGGAGGTAGTTCATTTTGATATTCTCCAAAATAGGTTGATTGTGGTGGTTGATGAAAAAGATTATTAGAATTGAGATCATGAGGAGCATCTTGTGATGGAGGAATATTATAATTATCATAACGATCTCGACGATGATGGCGTTTTTTCTTTGAAGCTGATCTTCTTTTTTCAGGATCTCCAACTGCTTGTTCTTCTTCTGATCTAGCAACTCCACCTTGTATTGCTTCATTAGTAACACCTTCAACTGCTTGAGATGGTACTGTTGATGGTTGTGGCTGTTGTTGATCAGTATCATTAGCTCCTTCTTGTTTCGAACGACTTGGTAATGCAGGTGATGCACTTCGACTACGATTTTGTTGTATTTCTGATGGTTCTGAACGTTCTTTACGTTGTTGTTCTTGATCAGAATATAAACCTTGTTCACCAGCACTTGGCGAAACACTTCGTCGTTTATGATGTTTTTTACCTAGTTGATTTCAATTTTATTGAAAAAATTTGTTTTACCCTTCAGGGTTAAAAAAAACAAACACCTACTTTTTGATCCATGAGAACTACGATATTCATAATGTTGAGATGGTGCTGGTGGTGGATACTGACCATGTTGATGACGTCGAGATGATGTTGTTGGTGGCGGTGGTGCATAAGCACCAGCTGCTGGATATTGTCTACCTGATGCTGGTAATGATTGACCACGTGGTTGTTGTGAACCTTGTTGATATGGTGGTGGTACAGGATGATTAAATCCAGCTACGCTACCATATTGAGATTGATAAATTGATGCTGGTGGCTGTTGGCCAGGATATGGATAACCTAATGGAGCCTGATTAAATGCACTTGTTGGATACATGATATTAAATAAAGAACAAAAACAAATCTCAGATCTAAAAAAAAATAAGTCAAAGAAATAATGTCCTTGATCAATAAATAGAAATAAATATAAACCAAAACGTTTACTGTTGCCTTAACAGATATCATCATAGAAAGACAAAAACGCATTGAAACACATCTATACACTAAATAATTAAAATAACCAGAGTCTTGCCGTTATGGTTTTCTCTTTTTCTCTCTCTTTCTCTCATTTTTTTTTACCTCGATATTACCTGAGGTGAACATTTACCACAGAAAAAAAAACCGCTTTGACTCGTAATTGAAAAGATTCTTGTCTCTATAGGAAATATACCAATGTCTTTATGGTTTTCTACTGTTATCACTTTCTAGTAGCTAATAAAATAAAAAGGAATGCTTATATATATTTTCGTTATTGAAACCTTGAATATTGTGTCAGAAGATATTAAACAGAAAAAAAACATCTTTGTCTTCAACACTTTTAACTTATCAAGATCTTTACTTACCTAGTCACACATACAACTGTCTTTTTCGCCTTTTGTATTTCGCTCGTTAAGTGACTATATGATACAAATCAATAGTATACTTTCCTTTTTCTCTACCGATTGAAAGACATGTACAACGTAAAAGAAATTTGTTGTAAGTTTGATGAGGAAAAAAAACGAGGGGACGAGTAGTAAAGAAGAAAAAAAACCTATCTGATCATATCTTCTTCATTTTTGAAATAAAAGGGAAATTTATGGTAAGTCTATAGTATATTCAAAAGGAAGAAATAGATTGGTGAGCATATACATTCATCATTGTACATTTAATTATTCGAAAAAAAAAACGAGCGTATCTTTTTTCTCCCTATTTCTCTGTGTCACTCTCTCTCGTTCTGTACTGACATACAAAGCAAGCAAGTAAAGGAAGAGAATACGGTAACGATGATATGAGAGATAGTTATCTGCCTTCATCATCAATTTTTTTTCCTTTCTAATAAATATATAAAAAAAAAACGTACAGTGTCAAAAAAACGAAGAAAAAGAAATGTCCATTTATTAATTAAAATAGTTATCTTGTCTGATTTTGAATATTTAATAAAAGAAGTTCAACGAAAAAAAAAGAAGAAGAAGAAGAACGAGAATTTTGGATAGGAAATTATCACATGTGGATAAATGAAAAGAATATTTCTATATGACGGTCACGCTGTATGAATGTCCAATTTGATGAATGGTTGATCGTTATATGTTGTTGTCTACACCTTGTTATTTTCTATATATGTATTCATAGTTGAGTCTCTTCTTCTCCTTTTTTTTTTTCTTCTCCTTCTTCATCTTCTTCATTTGATGTATACCAACGAAATAGCTACGGTTGAGCGATCACACGTACTTGCTCGGTGAAAGTTCGACATTTGCGGTCAGGTCCTAATTCAGGTTAAAAATTGAAATAAGGAGGAGACAATACTAAAAGATATAGACAATGAGCTTTCTCATTGCTTTCTTTTTCTCTGTATATTTGATATTGATAGGTGCATATCTATTCAACTTTGAGTGATAAAATGAGTCTGGTTGTTGTTGAATTCTTTAATCACTGATCGAATCACATTTATTAAAAAAAAAGATAATGAACGTATACATTTTGAAAACTGACAAAACGAATTAAAACGAACTTATTATAAAGATATAAAATAAACCTAATGGACATATGTCACTGAAGTACGTCCAAGCCAATAGGTAAAAGCTAAAGCTGATAAAAAGACTAAATTACCAGCTGTAACCGCTATATGATAACTGTACAAACCGCTCGGCATAGCCCGTGAATATGCTACAGTAATAAAGATAGCAGCAAGAAGAAATAAGAACAATACGATATTTTTAATTATATCTGAAGAATTGCTGATCATTCCTCGCCAAAACATAAGTGTGAATACAATAGCTATCACCAAAAATAAGATAGCTATAAGAAGTAAAACACCAGCAGCAGTATAATTTAGGGGACATGGAGAACCACATCGAAATAATTGAACTTTGCCAGTGCTAGACGCGCCAGCCCAGCCAGGTGTAGCTACTCCAATAATAGTAAAAAGAATACCAACGGCTGCAAGAACAATTGATATTAATAATGTTAAAGAATTTTGTTCCATTGCTATTTGAGTTTTATTGTAAGAAATAAAATGATTTTACCTCTAACTGTAAAAATTCGAAATTCTCCATAAATGCTTGAATTTATATAGATACTATTCTCTGATAAGAGTTTACATACACATGCAACAACAGCAGCAACAACAAAAAGAAAAAAGTTTTTATGACACTAGTAAATCATATTATTGGCGATGATAATACAAGTATACAATATAAAGTCGTTCTTATTAGTTGCCCTTGATTCATCATTGTCAAGGAGAAAACAATAAAATAATAACAGACACATGATCTGATAGCATTTGGATTTTTGTTTGATTACATAGCGTACAAATTACGTTTATTAAATAATAAAAAAAAAGAAAGAAAAAAAAAAGTAAACATAAATATATATTTATTGGTCACTACTAATCATTGCATGTAATCTAGCTGATTTGTAATCTGTACGTAATTGTACAAATGATTCAATAATGTCTCGTGTTAATGATGCCTATAAAAAAGAAAACGAGAATATATATTTCTATTAAATTTATTTTTAAATATATACTAGATGTCCTTCGGTAATAACTTGACGAAGATTATCAGGTACAACAACTAATAGATTAACAAGTGCATGTAAAATAGCAAATAATTGATCAACGGTTGAACTACGAAATTTTTTTGAACATTTTTTATATTCACTTATATCTTGTAAGATCATTAAACCACCTTAATAAAAAAACGATTAAATCAAATGAAAAGATAACAAATGTTTTTTTTGTCCTCTACCTGATATATTATATTCGAATTTAAAAACATGATCGGTTATTAATCGATGAAAACGAAGACCAAATTCATTTAAAATACCAATTAAATTTTTTCCATCAACTGTTTGTTCAAGACGTACTATTTGTGTATCAAGTGAACGTACAACTCGTTTACATATCTATTTCATTAAAGCAAATTAAATTCTTAAAAAAAAAATTAATTAATTCAATTTACTGGTGAACATTCCGATATATTTATCTCATTTTCTGGTTTGAAATCTGATCGTTTTTGTTCATTAAGTATATTACGAGCATAACCAATGATACATAATAATGCTCTACAAAAAAACAAATAGAAAAAAAAATTAAAATGTTTTATTTACTTATCAACACCAATATTAATTAATTCCTCTAATTGACCGAAAACTTTTTCTTTTGATTGTAAAAGTTGTGATTGTTGTTGTGTACCTCTATAATAAAACGAGACATTTCTTTTATTTTTGTTTATTTAATTATCTTACAAAAGTAATGATGCAATATCCATAACAAAATATCGTTCGATTAATTGTATGCTATTATTTGTTTGAGAGATGGCATAAAAAAAACGTATATCAGGTTCTTGTTTAGGTTCTGGACCAGGTATAGCTTGTAAACTATATTGTAATTCAGTATCGATATGTTGATTACCTAATGCATTAAGTAAACGTAAGAAACATTGAAGAATATTTTCTGAAGCTTCAGATCCTTCCGATAACTAAAAAAAACAGATTTACATATTTTTAGAAAATAGAAATTGTTTGACAAACAGTTGTTATTCGAGTCATTGCTGTTTTACAATCTTGTAATAAAGCTGCGGCTAAATCAGGTGAAAAACGAGATTCATCAACTTGATCAGTTGTATTCAATAGACGCTGTTGGATTATATCAGTTATGCTACTTGGATTTATCAACAATAAACATGTGATTTCCACAGTCAAGACTATATGAATTTACCTTAAGCCAGTTGGTTTAATTCTTCGTTGTCCACCACTTGATTCGACTCTTTCAAGATGTACTTGGAATTTTTCTTCCAAACAATTAAGTTCATATCTAATATTTACAACATTTTAGTTTTTGAAGAATTTTAAATATATTATTTCATTTACTTGCTATAAGTTTTAAGATAACTCTTAAAAACATGTTGATTAAGTTTATGTAGAAAAGCTGGATCATCACTTATTTTTTGTGTTTGTAAATCATTCGATAATTTTGTTGCTCTTTAGTTTTATATTGAAAAAACATCAAATTTATTTTTACAATTTTTCTATTTACTTTTTATATAATGTATATAAGGTTTGAAGATATTTTTCCATATTATCTAAATCAGGATTACGTAAATATGGATCAAGTTGATTACGAACATAAGGCTAAGAGTATAATAAACAAAAACATAATAGAGTTTAATTTAATTCTCATATAATAGCAAATCTTACAGCTAATTTTTCGGTATAGACGGTAATTATTAATCGTTCAGTAACTTTTTCTGGTTGATCAAATAATTCATTGATTAGTTCGGAAACTTTGACAAATAATTGTGGAATGGAATTAAATATATCAATATTTGGATTATCGAAATAACCCTAAAACAAAAAAATAGAGAATAAATTTTGTCTCAAAAAAAAAGTTAAAGGTTGATTTAAATACCTATTGATGCAATATAACATCTAATTAAATAATCTCCATAGGGATTTCGTGAATTTTTTCTAATAGATCTCATGTGTTGATTTTGTTATCTTGTATCGAAAAAATTCTTATTTTTCTCGGTGTTCATGTAAATTTTGTATTCCTCAGGGAAATTAGATCGATTTGTTTAAAGAGCATGAAAATACTACATTCGTTTCGGTTGTCGATGAAAAGATCTTATTTATAAGATGAGATAATAAAAACGGCAGCAACATCTTGATAGTCAGTTATTAGTTTGTTTATGAATTGAAGTTAATTGACTTATTAAAAATATTTTCGTTTTTAATAGTTTTCTATGCAATGAAATCAAATTATCTGGTCTATTTTTATGACAAAAAAAGTAGAAATATAATATCGTAGACGTCTGCAAAGATTGCACTCTAATACTAAAAATAATTGACAGAATACATTTCCATAAATTCTTTCTATGAAAAACTGATAGCAATCATCCTGTAGATATTTCATATAAGAATTGATAGAAATACAATTTTGGAGACTAATCTATAGATCGCAACGATTACCTCTTCCTAAACCCATCACTACTGGAGTCGATGGCGGATTAAGAGGGTGGGGGGCGACCACCCCCATCGCCCCCTCCTTCCGAATTTTTTTGATTTTACATAGCAAAAATGAACGAAAAAATAGGTTCACACTACTTCGATTGGACTCAAAAAATAGCTTTTAGCCAAAATCGTCCGTCCCCTTCCAAAATCCTAGATCCGCCACTGACTGAAGCCCATTCATTTTATGCTCTATATCGAATGTTACTTCAGATTCATATTCAATGAGTTCTGTTCATAACAAAATAGTTCTACTCCTTATGATTAACATACTTTTAAACAATCCGTAATAAAATTTTGAATACAATCATTATGACCCTAAATAGAAAAAGAAAATTACAAATGACATTTTCAAAAATATGAAAATTTACTTTAAATTTTGATAATAATTTAATATATTTTTTCATCGCTTTTTTATCATTTCGAACTTGTGCACGAGAAAATTCTAATAATAATTCTTCTTCAATAGCCATATAACGATCTTTAACTTTAGTTTTAGCATCAGTAAATTTTGCTTCATCAGGTAATTCTTGTAAAACATTATATAATTGATGAATAATATGTGCTGCTTGTTCAAGTTTCGATGCATCTTGAAACATTAAACTAACATCATCATTAGCATCAAGAAAACGTTCAAGATATTTTGCTGTTGTTCTTGCATCAACTAATTGTTGACGAGGATTACTTTTACTTTCAAGTTGATGACCAATTTGAATAACTTTTGTTGATATAACACTTATACGCATTTCAAGTTCTTGTTGACCAGTATATGTAGACTTGAGAACAAAACAGAATATTTTTATATTTTAATATTTAGATTAAAATCAATTTACTTGATATAATTCTTCAAGTTGTGCAACACTATTTGACCATGTATTACGTTCTTTTTCACATAACTCTTCTAAATGTTTTATATTTTGTTCTGTTTGAACTTGATAATCCTTTTTTAAGAAGGAAAAATAATTTTTTTTTATTGGATCGAAATAAGTTTTACTTGTAAAATTGACATTGCTTGACGAAATTTTCCTTCTAATAAAGTTGGATCAAAATCTTCATTAATAACATTACCATCAGTTGATTTATATGCAATATTTTCAATTAAATTATCAACATCAAAAACCGCCTATGATAATATAAAATAAAGATTTTGTTTTTTTGAAAAATATTAATTAATTTCGTTTTCTTACTGAATCTAAGCTGGCTAAAACTAAATCTTCCATACGAAAAAATAAAGAATTTTTCTAGAAAATGAAAAAAGAAAATCAAAAGATCTTTGTCTAAACAATAAAAATTGTTGCATTTTTTTTAAATAATAATAATAATAATAACACGACACACATCATTCAACTTGACTAATTTCAATACGAATAAGTCCGGAGAAATACGCATAGGCACACATGGTTAATATACCAACACCAATCACGGCGAGTTTATCTCGAAGACGATCTTCAGTTGGTTTTTTTGGTACTGTTGTTGGTGCAGAATCTGTTGTTTGATTATCTGTCGCTAAAATATTATTATTCAAGATAGAATGAAAATATTTTTCGACAAGAAATTACCTAAATGACCAAGATAGACTGTTAGTATTCGATTCACGAAATCACGAAGATTTTTACGACTTGATGCATAACGAGCGAGACCACTATTGGATGCTGGACCATGAATTAATGGAGCCAAATAACCAAAAACAAATGCATCAACACTTGACGGACTAAATGAAATTATTCGTTAACTTATTTTTAATTCATAAAAGATTTACCTAGCACCGAATAGAAATGGTTTTGTTCCTAATAGAAGTGTTAAATGATCTAAAACTTTTTTGCCTTTTTCAAATATCTAAATCATTCAAAAGAAATGCATAATAATACGGAATAATATCGAATAATTCATACAGTTTTTCGAGTTTGCTCAAAATTATTATCACCGTAAGTAATACTAAATTGATTTTTAATTCTTTCTGTTGTTTGTTTTCCATAAATAAATGCTAATGGAAACCCACCCAGTGATCGACCATAAATATTTATTATTGCAGTTCGATATGTATCATCAAGCCAAAATGTATCAAGCTATATAAATATATTTTGTCTAGTTTTATATATATATATATATGAAAGTCTATGTATAAAAACATACAACAGCTGGTACAAATGCTGATTTTACAAGTGCATTTAATGCAAGTAGATCGGCAGTATCTGTTGAAAATTGTTCATCAATATCGATATGCTAAATGATAAATATAATAAAGAAATATATATTTAGTAAAAAAAATAAGTACCGATTTTTTACAATGATCAGCAATAGCTTCGTAACCTGATGCCAGACAAATTTTATCACTATCACCGAGTAGAAGTGGTAAATGTTCTTTATAGTATTCAAAAAAAAAGATAAGTTATTAATTATAGTTAAAGATAAATCGTACCTTTCATATACGCAAATCGACCGAGATTTGTTCTAATATCAGCATTTAATCGAGAAAAAGCGAAATGCGCCTTATTAAAAAAGGATTACATTTAGATAAAAGTAAAATCTTCAATCTTACAAGAACACAAAGACATTCAGGATCGAAAGAAGGTAAGGCACCATATGCTGGCCAAATACATAAAGACGTGAATGCTAGTTTCTAAATAAAACAAAAAATAATCTATCAAGTAAACAAATAGATATGTATATATGTATAAAAATTATACCGGTTCAGTTGTAGATGAGGACAACATTGATTATAAAGTAAATGATGATAAGAAAAATAGGTGTACATATCCTACATTATCGGTTTTGACACCCTTTTAACAATTGGAGGATAGAGTAAAGAAATCAGAATGAAGATTACACATGAATCAGTGACATCTGTTGATAGTTATTATATAGTGTTTGATGAATGATAGATAAACAATGTATTCAAACAGAAGTTAAGTTTTATATTAACGAAATTTTTTTCAATGATTAAATATATATATATATCGTTATTTTTTAATATTAATAAATTATATGGTGAAGATATTCGCATGATCTATTTCATATTTCAATTTCGTTACTTTTTTTTTTAGCTACTGTGAACAAGTCCATTAGAGTTAATTCAATAAATATATAGAATTATTTATGTCATGCATTAAAAATAATCATTTCTAGTACAGTTGTTTTGTATATACTTATTAATAACATATTTTCTATATGGTAAAGAACACGTTATATGTTATTTTAACGTGAGTTGTTTGCTCTGTTCTTTTCTTCATGACAAAAAAAAAAGAAAAAGAATTCGAAGTTTGATATAAATCTTAAATAAATTAGTTTTTTTGAAATTGTTGTAATGTATTATCTTGATTAATTGCTTGGATATGTTGTTTTTAACCGAGAACAATCTGCTAAACAGTATATGCAGATTAAAACATAATCAAAGATTCAAAACTCATATGAGAGTAAAGAAGAAAACAAACAAATAACATGACGCTAGTATCACGCCATTATTTCTAATTCGTTGTACTTGCTATATTATCATCATCAAGTATTATTTTATATCTTATAGGAGTTATGTGAACTTTTCGCATAGAGGTAAGTAATATTTTGCAGAAAACTGTGATAAATCGTAACGAGACAAAAACATAAAATTGTATTATATTAAATATCATGCGTACATTCTGATAATTATAGATATAATCTACGGAAGTAAAAGCTCATTATAAATCTCGACAAATATTTAATTAAAATGAAAATTTTGATTTGTATTTGTTTTTTTCTTTTCCATTTAATAAATCTTTCGAAATCAACTACTCCGAATATCTTAATTTTTCTTGTTGATGATTTGGGTTATGGAGATTTAGGATGTTATGGAAATTCAACGATTGATTCTCCGAATATCGATTCTTTAGCACGTGATGGTGCACGATATACACAAATGTATTCGGCAGCTCCAATATGTACACCTTCTCGTGCTGGATTTCTTACTGGAAGATATCCTGTTCGTTTAGGATTAACATCGAATGATAATCGATTTCGTACATTTAATTCTCCAGGTCAACCTGGTGGTTTACCACATGATGAAACAACAATGGCAGAAATTGCACAGAAGTTAGGCTATCGAACTGGTTTAGTTGGAAAATGGCATTTAGGTTTAGGACGTAATGGTGAACATTTACCAACTCGTCATGGTTTTGATACATTTTTTGGTATGCCTGTCACCAATGTACAAACATGTGGAAATAAGAAAATATATAATTTAATTGGTGGACATGGTGAAGTCCTTGATCGTTCATTTCTTTCATATTGGATTACTTTAACGGGCAAAGTAAATTCTATGAGTTTCTTTTTAATATTATTTTTAAACTATTTCTAATTCTTATCAAGGTTTGGTTAACATTTATTGGTATTGCATTTGCAACATGGTACTTTTATTCACGTAAATTAGCTTTCATTATATTGTTTGCAGGCGCTATTGGATTTTTTGGTGGTATGTGGTATACACTTTCTTTTACACTTCTTAGTCGTTCATCATGTTTATTATATCGAAATGAAACAATTATTGAACAACCAGTTCATCTAGAGAATTTAACACTTCGTAATACGAATGAAGCAATAGAATTTATGAAAGATACTGTTACTATTCATAAGAAACCATTTTTTCTCTATATGGCTTATATTAAAGTGCATACTGCTCTATTTACTCTTCCAGAAAATGTTGGACGTAGTCGTCATGGTGCTTATGGTGATAATATTGAAGAGCTTGATTGGAGTGTTGGACAAATTCTTCAGACTTTAAAAGGTCTTGATATTGAAAATGATACTTTAGTTTTATTTTCTTCGGATAATGGTCCTTTTCTTGAGCGTGGAATTGAAGCTGGTTTTTGTGGTCGTGCTCGAACAATAGATGGTAAACTTAGTGAACCATTACGAGGTGCAAAAGGACAAACATGGGAATGTGGTATTCGTGTTCCTGGTATGCTCCGTTGGCCAGAACATATCATTTCTGGTCAGATAATTGAAAGTGTCTCATCACTATTAGATTTCTATCCAACACTTTTGAAACTATGGAATGTTTCATCATTCATAGATCGTCCTCTTGATGGTGTAAGTTTGTGGTCACAATTAAAACTGAACAATGAAACATTGCTTTCTTCATCTTCGCTCAGTATAGAAAAAGAACGTGATACACTATTTCATTATTGTGGTTCAACTGTAACAGCCGTACGTCAAGGTAAATACAAGGCACATTATTGGACTCCAAAATGGGATGAAGGTCTGCATGCATGTCCTAGTGTCACTATCTGTCCTTGCCTTAGTAACCAACATTCACCACCATTATTATTTGATATTGAAGCCGATCCTTCAGAAGAATTACCATTAGATACTCAAAAATATTCAAAAATATTGTCTCTGATGGATGTAGCAGTAGAAGAACATAAAGCAACACTTATTCCTGTACCAAATCAACTTGAAAAACTCGCACTACCATGGTTATTTCCTTGTTGTAAAACACAAGGATGGACTCGTGTATTTCGTTTAATAACTAATTCTTGTCAATGTTAATTATTAGTCACATATATTTATTTCATAATTTTTTAGAAAAATGAAAAACGTAGTATCAAAGAATCTATATTTCTATAAATAAGATAAAACTTATTCACTATTTATACAGCACTGATTGAAGTATTACACAGTTTATTTGCGATTCTTTACTTTTTGATAATGGCGTTTCTATCGAAACAAAAGGAAGGAAAGTTAGTATCAAATGTATTTGTCTAACATCGCAACCATTATTGATATGCGTTGAAAGTTTTTTTTTCCCTTCTATATTGAGAGTAAGTAAATACAACAAGTACTTGAAGCACATCATATAGAAGAAGAAGAAGAAAAAAAGAAAAGTCTATCAATTCTATTACATATTCAATAAATACATGAGATAAGTAACTATCAACACTTAATAAAATTCTTTTTTTTTCTCTTATTGTTTTTATGGATGATATAATATATTTTGTTAGAGAAAAAAAACTAATATCAAGATGGCATCTGTTTTCAACCATTTATGATTTCTTTGTTTTTTTTGACATAGTTTCAATCTACAAAGAAAACTAAATAAATAATATATTGCCATTAATATTGATACACACTTAGAATTCTATTGAGATTTTTTTAAATTAATAATTCCTACGTTAGAAAGTTTTTTCTCATATAAATATCGATTAAAATCATCTGTTGCGCTTGATACTAGTGACATTTTTGTAGAACATTTTTTTCTTTTCTTTCGATATTCTAACGAACAATTACCACTATCCATATCATTTGTAAAATTCTGATTAATATTTTTTGTAGTTGGTGTTGTTACGCGTTCACGTAATTGAACATCATCAATTGAACTTGAATTTTTAACTACATTTTTTTTAATTGATTTTTTCTGTTTACCACAATAATTATTGATAGATTGAATTTCTAATTGTTGATCACATTTTTTTACTTCTTGTTCGGCATTGGGTTCACCAGGACGATAAGCAGCATATTTAACAGCTGGATAAATCCAAGTTAATGCAATACGATATTGAAGAAATATGTCTAAATAAAGAAAAAATATTTATATAGTTCATAACATAATTCCATTATATCCGTAGATTTCTTTTATAGAAAAAAATATCAAATGTAACCTTTTGTGAAATTGATTCTCTTTCAAAGGTAAAAGACTAACTCGTGCGGAAATAATGTATTAATACTTTTAGAATGTTCTAGCAAAAATTGTGTCCTTCAAAGGTCATCAAATAATCTAAATTCTTCATTTTACTTATTGAGAATTTCAGGCAAACCTTTAATAATTGTTTGTAAAATCATAACATCAGCAAATTTAACCTAAAACACAAGATTTATTTTTGTTGATATATTGATTGGTTTTGTTTTTACATACTTCAGCATCGAGTTCACAATTTAATAATTCAAAATCCGTTACAAGTAAATCAAGAGCTAAATATAATTGTTCATTGGGTAATAAAAGATCATAACCAATATCTTGATGAATTTGTTTTAAATCACGTAATCGATTAATATTACATTTAAATATATCAATTGATCGACGTGTTACTGGTAAACTCATCATTCTCCCTTCAGAAGATTGAATACGTGTAACACGCATATCAAGAAACGTCCGTTTAGCTATAATAATATAACTATTCAATTGTAATATGAAAATGTTTTCTTGTGCTATACCTAATGAACAAAGAAGACGCATTTTTTGAACAAAATTATCAAATTCTGTATCAAGATTATAATAAAACGCACATGCACGTGGTACACAAAAGCTAGTAAAACGTTTCTAAAAAAAGAAATCAATCAAGTTTTAAATAAATTGAAGAAAATATTTTTTTCCGAATCAATTATATAAGGCTAATCATTCCTCAATACTTTTTCTTTGTTAAGTTCGAATTCAAAAAGAATTGATTTTACCAATGTATTTATTTGTACACGTCGTAATGATGATGTTTGAAATGCATTTATAGCAAAATAAGTTAATTCACTTGAATACTCTAATAGATTATTTAGAAATTGAGCAAATTGTGTTTGTATTAATTTTGGTATATGTGAAGTAACTTTAACTTCTCGATCAATATTTTCTTTCATAACTCTTTAGATCTATTAATGATTAGTATTGACAAACATGATTAATAAGAAAAATAATCATGAACTAAGATGAAAAGTATAATTGAATAGAAAATCAATGCATAACAACCGATTATTATTTTTAACACAAAATATTCTAAGATATATATATATACAGACAAAATTTTATTATTAATTATTTTCAATTAAAAATAGATTAGATTTATTCTATATAGATTATTACTTGTAAGTATTCATCTCTATTTGTTGGATTTCTAAAGAAATGTCAAGTATAGTTAACAAAGAATATTCTTTATTCAAACAAATAATTAATTGTTTATCTTTTAATTTTTTTTTCCTCTTTAATATAATTCGTAACTGATTCTCTTTTGTATATATATAGAAATTGATTGACGTTTAATTTGAATTATTTCTTAATATTGTCGTTTGTATGCATATACACGCTTTTCTTATTGTGGCTTTCTCGCTCGGCTGCATGGACGTTCATCATTCATGTTGAATTGCTCGGCTAGAAATTTGACAGCAATGAAAGCGAGACGGAGAGACAGAAAAAGCACAATTTTGTTGTCAGAACTCTCAAAAAAAAATAACGAGACTAAGGAAAGCGCACTGAGTATGTGAATTTATCTGACTCTCATATTTTCTCTCTCTCTCTCGCTCTCTCTTCAATGTTGAAGTGACGTCGTCTTGTGATTTCTCGTAAACATGTCGATCGCCATCGACATTTTTCTTCTTTTTTTTGTTTTTCTTTATGCTTTTTTTCTCGTCACATTAACTCGTTCAAGTTTTGTGTATCTGCTTCATGTCACTGTCGTTTTTCCTGTCTTTTTCCTTCTGAATTATCAACAATACGATTCTCGTTCCCTTTAGTTTTCCGTTAAAATGCATTTCTCTCTCTCCCTCTCCCTCTCCCTGTCTTCTCTATCGCCCCCACTATTTTCGATAATTAATTGTGTAGCGGTCTTTTTTTCTTTATCTCTTTCCGAGCAGTTTCTCTTTCTCTCTAATGCTCGTCTTTTTCTTTTCTCTTCAGTTCGACAAAATTTTTTCCGGTTCTCTCAATGTCGCTATGAGAGAGAAGTCGCGCTCTTTGGAATACTTGATAAAGAAACAAAAAAAAAGAACTGGGAGCGTAAGACGATGAGCAAATGCAGAAATAGTCGAGAGAATTGAGTGACACACTACAACACATCTTTAGTCAAGGTTCATCAGAATGACAACAATAACAACAATAAGACAGGAGAGGACAGAAATATGTCTTGACTGATAATTGTCGAGAACATCCTCTTCTCATCAACATGCAAGCTCCATCGTTTTCGTTATTGAGCAAACAAGAACAACGACAACGACCCATTGGGAGTCAGATTGTCAATCGACATAATGTCAAATTTCTCATTCGAATTCTTGTTGGTCTCACATTAGCTCATATCGTTGGACAACGATTTCAACCGAGTAATGCTGCGCCTAGTAGTACAAAATCAAACTGGAAACATCGACCACAAAAAATACAATCAACAACTCTTTCGGATGGTAAGTCTTGTATTGACAATGATTGTATTCGATTTGTTTATTGACACCGGAAAAGACTACAATAAAAATAGGATATCTTTATTTAACAACTATATAGACATAGCATGCTGTTTTAATAGATAATCTCTCAAGAGAATTACGGTTAACTTCTTTTTATATTAATTAGAAAAGAAGAAGAAGAAGAAAAAACTTAGGTGATATAATATTTATTTAGGTCAAGTTAATGATGATAAAACAACAACTATTATAACTACAACTTCTTCATTGACAACTCCTGGCTGGCAACCTGGTCAACAGAAGAATTGTACAGATCCAGGTGTGTATTGTTTTTAATGAATTTTCTATTATTTTCATATTTATCCTATAATAAGACTTAAAATAAAAGAAATCTTCTTTCTTCTTCAATGATTTATGTCAAATCAAATTATCAAATAAAGAAGTCTTATCATATAATCTAATCTTTATATGCTTCTATCTGAGAAAGATTTTTATAAAAGCATAAATTGCTTAAAAAATACATTTCTTCTTTTTCTTTCCCTATTGCAGCTATTGATGAATTTCCCGAAGATCTTTTTACACAATCACAACGACGTAGTGTGAGTCAATATAAATATTTGTATTTACAAATCTAACAATCGATTGTATAGGGAGCTATAATATTTCATTTCATTGCTTGTCTCTATATTTTCATTGCAATTGCTGTTGTTGTTGATGATTATTTTATATCTGCATTAGATAAACTTTGTGCCGTAAGTATTAATTTTTTTATTTTGAAAAAAAACGTATTTTAGTTGAATTTTTATTATAGACATTAGGTCTTGATGAAGATGTTGCCGGTGCAACATTTATGGCTGGTGGATCATCATCACCCGAATTATTTACAGCTATTATTGGTAAATTGTTTCTCTATAGAATTTTAATTTATAATAAATAAAAAATTTTCTTAGGAATCTTTGTGGCAAAAGGTGATGTTGGTGTTGGAACAATTGTCGGTTCGGCTGTATTCAATGTTGTTTGTGTAATTGGTGTATGTGGCTTATTTGTAAATGCAGTAAGTAATTTATTAAGAAAAAAATTTATTATATGATATTAATTATATTTATATTAATAGGCGATTCGATTGACTTGGTGGTTTGTATATTTTCTATGAAAATTTCTATTTAATTGAGTTTCTTTTTCTTATAATCTAATCTAGGCCATTATGCCGAGATTCCGTATACTATTCCGTGTCAATATTAATTTTAATCATGGTAAGTATATCTCAATAAACTAATTGAATGACATAAGTATAAATTATATTCATTGTCATAGTGTTTATCTGATGGTCGTATAACATTATTCGAATCAACATTTCTCCTGTGTATGTATGCAGGATACATAGTCATTATGTGGTATGAATAAACAGTTTTAATAAATTGAAAAATTTCTATATTTTATTCAGTAATAATCAACGATTACAACGTATAATTGTTGGTCGATTGCAAGTATTTCAATCATTTGGTGGTCCAATTGAACCCATAATGAATTATGCTAATACACAAAAAACATATGGATTGAAAAATACTTATGGTTTGTTTTCTCTCGTTTGATTATTTTTGTTTCTTTTTAAAAACTATGTCGTTTTGTTCTATAGAACAATTTGATGAGGATGATGATGGTGGTCAAGCTTATAATAATTCATCAATGAGACAGAATCAATTACCACTTGATGAACATATTGCAAAATCACGTATACCAATTGATTTTGAAACAGCAGCATTGAAAATAATGATGTCAAGATATTTTCGAAGTCGAACTCGATTTAAAATGGCTGTTCGATTTGTTATTAGCCATGTATAATGAAGATAATTATCCTAAGAAAAATTTCGATTGTCTTTTTTTCTAGTTACGATCACCAGGATGTGGTACAACACATCCTCAAAAGCCTGCAAATGAAAGACGTTTTTCATTTTACCAAGGTCGAACACCAAGGTAGAACTTTTCTTAATTATTCCATCGGAAAGAAAAACTTAAAACTTTCATCTTCGATATTTAGTCTATTAGCCGCGGATGCAAATTTTGACGATTGGAAGAGAATTCCAAATTATAATTATGATCCAATAAATTTTGCTAAATGGATAATAACAGCACCGATTAAAATTGTCTTTTATTTTACTATTCCGGATTGTCGTAATCCAAGGTAAGTTGTTTAATTTTATTTATTTAAATATTTATTCCCTATAACAGATGGTTTAAATGGTATCCATTTACATTTATCATGGCGATTGTTTGGTTATGTCTATTGACATATCTAATGGTCTGGATGGTTACAATTATTGGCTATACATTTGGTATACCAGATAGTGTTATGGGTATAACATTTTTAGCTGCTGGTAGTAGTGTTCCAGATGCAATGAGTAGTGTTTTAGTAGTTCGTCAAGGTAGAGAAAAAAAATACAATATAAAATTAAATGATTGTAAATCCAATTTATTTAATTAGGTCTTGTTGATATGGGTGTATCGAATACATTTGGATCGAATGTATTTGATTTACTCGTTGGTCTTGCATTACCATGGTTTTTTAAAGCATTAATCAGTGGAGAAGCCGTACATATAAATTCCAATGGACTTATGTATGATTCCGTTCTTTTACTTGGTATTGTCGCTTTAACGGTAAGAAGAGAAAAGATGTATATATGATTATATGTTCGAATTCTTTATATTAGGTCATTAGTTTTCATCGTCGAAAATGGTATTTAGATAAAAATCTGGGTATTTTTTTTCTTGGTGTTTATGGAATATTCGTGGTTGTTTCCTTATTAATTGAACTTAATGTATTTGGTTTTGTCAACCCACCTATGTGTTAAACTATACAATTTCATTCATTTTTGTGGCATATACAAA